TAAAACATGAACTAGAAGGGGGTCTGCTGGCAATGGATTTTATGGCTTCCTTTTCCTCTGTGGTCTAGTTCTCCCAGTCACTTGGGTCCCTGTGAGCTTGCTGAACATGGGCTGGCCAACTGGTCCCTCTGCTGTGGGGACAGAGGGAGCACGCTGGGTGTGAGGACCAGGAACTGCTGTCCTCACGGCAAGGTCCTGCAGCAAGTCAGCCCACCAGTGCAGACCCTTCCAGTTCCCCAGGGTCCACAAGACCCCTCCGGGCAGTGGATAGTCTGTCTCCTTTCCAGGAGACACAGGATCTAACCAGCCTTCCCCTCGGCGAGCCTTCCCCTCGGATTCTGGCCACTTATATTTAAAAAGCCACATGTCTTATTTCTACATATGTTTGTACACATGCCTAATAAAATGACTGGGACACACACTAAACCTGGTAATGGTTGTAGCTGAAAAGGAAAGCAGGACTGGGTTGATGTGGGTGGATGTGGTGGTGAAGGGGAACGTTCATGTCTAATTCTAGGTGTGTCTGTGTTGTTTCAACTTTTTATACCAAAAAAAAAAGAGCATTCACATGTTAGTTATTGTAAAAATCAAGCAGCTCATTAAATGAAACCCAATAACTTGGCATAACAGTATAGGTTTTTAAGTTGACATTTCCACCAAAAGAGTCAGAGAGTGCCTGTTTTCTTATAGCATCTCAACATGGGGTCTTAGTCCCTTTTTAATCTTCAGCAAATACATTAACCTCGTATTTCATGATTATTGTCATTAGCAACATTTGAAAATGAAGTTGAGCATTTTTCTGTATGTGTATTGACCATCTGTATCTTTCCTATGTCCTTTGCCTAATTTTGTATTAGATTGTTATCTTTTAAGGATTTACATTAAACTTCTGTCTGTCTTATATATAGCCTACAGACCTACGTTGTTTTTCTACTGCCTTTTTTTCCTGGCAATGTGATATAATATAATAGAACAAATACTATTCATTGGGGTGAATTGGGGCAATTCATTTAACCCCCCTGGTTCTTAATGTTCTCATAATAGCTTCCAATAGACACCCATCTATGTGGGCTTACTCTGCCAGGAACTTTGCTAAAAAAATTCTTAAATGATCTCATTTGATGCTTTCAACCAGTGTTGGTTAACTATTGTGTCACCACCATTTCCCAGAAAAGCAACAACAGCTCAGAGACTCAGGATAATTAATCTGCCCAAGGCCACACAACTGGTGGGTAAAGATAGATTCGAACACTGACTATACACTCCAGGCCCCTAAATCCCATGGTACATTGTAACTGCCCAGCCCCAGCCCCAGCCCCACCTCATCCTAAAA